ACATACATACGCATGCATGCATGCACCTAAAACTGTTCTTGACATATCTAACCTCTAAAACTTCCTTCCAACTGACTCACCCAAGGATGTACCTGCAAAGGATATCTGAAGCAGCGCCCAGTATCCTCATTTCAATAATTGAATTGGAAGCTGTCCAGGAGGTCCTCGCCCTTCTGCGAGTTCCTTTTTTTGCTAAATCCTTACACCCTGAACCTAGGCGGCTGCGGACCCTTCGAACCCTGTCCATAGTGACTATGGTGGTGAATGAGGGATATGATAGGATCCCAGATTTAATCCCTGCATCATCGTCCGTAACAGTCCCTATAATTAGGGATCAGGGCTTAGGGTCCCAATCCCTACTGAGCACCAGGAAGCTGTCCTCCAGAAAGTCGGATACCAAAGGAGCCAATGGTTACCTGTCACATTGGCAATGTTGGTGTCTATCTTCCAACAGGATAGGGGACAACTAGTTTTTGGAGCATCTAGGGATCTTTCACAGAAACTCTTGAGGCTTGATGCTGGCAAATCCTTTTAGTAAGGGGGGGGTCAGATATGGGACGCAAAGGCCATGTTCTCCCCTTCGTGCCCAAACGGTCCGCGTAGGTGGTATATGGTATATGGTTCGGGCCTCAGGGCCCAAGGGGTTGCCATATATTTACTTTAAGTAAGGCCCAGGTAAATACCATGTAGCTACATTGACTCTTTGGGTAATTCGGGGGCTGTCAAGTCCTTCTGCGAGAACGTGGGCTCAAGCCCCCGTGTTCCCTTAGGTCCAAATCGGAGCGGAAGATAGAAACGATGTCATCAAGTTGTAAAAGCTTAAAGGGGTTATAGGAAGTGCATGTAGCCATATAATATATACTTGGGCCTCAAGTTAGGTATATTCAAGCCCTTTCAGCCACAAGTAGATACCATATAGCTACATAGGCCCTCTGGGTATATACTCCCCCATAGGTAGATAGAATATGGGGTATAAGGGTATCTTATTATAACATACCCAAAGCCATATTCTATCTACTTAAATCTGGGCTATAGGGATCCATTCGTACCCACAGAGACTTGTGTGAATTTTAGGCAGAGTATCTGGGCCACTGCTGAGGGTGATCCAGAGATGACATGTTGCAAAGATACAGTCCCCCTTAAGTAGAAAGAATATGGCTTTGGGTATATTTATAATAAGATCCCCATATACCCCATAGTCTATCTACTTAAGCGGGACTATAGGGTTTAGGGTTGAAGAGCTTAGGGTTTAGCGCGGTCTACATTGCTAAGAGACCACAGGTTTCAACCTGGACATAGTTGCAGCGTTTCCTACCTAGCTCTTTTGCGCAGGAGGCCCGAGGTTTGGGGGTTTGGGGATGAGGGTTTCGGGTTTAGGGATCTAAACCCTAAACCCAATAGGGTTCTCTGCACTCCTCTTGAGGCTCAAGGCTCAAGGTTTAGGCTGCAGGATGTGCGGTTAAAGGTCTTCGCCTAGTAGCTACTTATAAGTGGACTTATAGCCCTTCTTATAAATGGTGTAGCCCCTGTAAGCGCATTTAGGAGGATTATAAGTAGGGTTATAAGCCCAGTTATACGTAGTTACTCAGTCCCATGGGCCTCCAAGTACCTGGACCCCAAAAGGAGGTAAAATAATAGCCCAAAGCCTCTAAGTATAGCCCAACAAGCCATTGTGCTACATACTTCGGGGTCTAAATCCTAAGCAATACGGAAGTTTCCATTGTCTTTTCCATTATTCTACATACTTTTGGGGTTCAGGTAAACCCAAAACCCTTAATCCCGAGCCACGAGCACCCGGATTTCCCTGAGACGTTAATGCCCGCCTGATCGCCGCCAGGAAGAATTTGTAGGTCCGAAGACAACCCGGCTGCATGAATGCACTTGTAGTAGCCTGGGCTTAAGCTTTAAGTGGATTTGGGGTATCTCAACCCCTATGAATAGGACCCTATAACTGTCATATGACTAAAACAGGGTCGGGTTGAGTTACCAAAAACCTCCTATTGGCAGGTTCGGTGGTCCTTTCAAGGGGGTTTGGGGTAACCCTAAAAACTGAGCAAAATCCTCTTATTTGCGAGAAGACTTTCGGGTTTGGGGCCCGCGGTCTGGAGTTCCTGGTGATTAGGGACCCTAAACCCTAAACCCTAAACCGTTCAGGGCTTAAAGGCATGGAATCTACCAGGACCCTTGTAGTATCCTAAATTTGGGTTGTAGGAGCCCTGATAATGTGGACTCAAGCAGTAGCAGAGAGAAGTTCGTGGGTTAAAGTCGGGATCATTTGTGGGGATTATGTGCGCAGTACTATGTGGATCCATTTTTTCATTGATTGTCCTACGAACCGCCCATGAGTAGGCTTATATAACCCCAAACACTAACCCTTAAACCCTGAACCCAAAGCCTAAACCTTAGAGCCGTATGGAATCCCAAATGCTAACGGGGTACGTAAGGATGAGAGGACGCCCATTCAAGGATCATGCAGGGCCCCCGGGCCCGGAGCTTGAGGTCAAGTTTAAAGCACCAATACCAATGAGCAGCAACTTCATGCTAGGCTCACTCCTCAGCAACCCCTAAATTATATGGGTACCGTTTTTCTTCCTGCTCGGCTTTAATGTAGAAGCCACAAAATAAAAAGGGGAAAAGGGTACTACTGGGGTAGCTAGTTGTGAGAACCGCAACCCAGGCAGAGAATCCACGTTCAGCGGGACACTAAACCCTAAACTCCTTACCGTGTAGGGTTTAGGGTTTAGACAAGTTCATGCCAGATTTGGGCATGGACAATAAAAGCAGGTATGTCATGCGAGCCTAAACCTCTTGGTATTTCATGACTAACAACCAGTTCATAATCATAGCAATACTTTTTTGACTGGTATTACAACTAGTACTACTATTCGTATTACCATTATTATTACTATGGTTGTTTTTGTAACTGCAGTCAGATTGCAGCCCTTAAGGCGCCTTGCCGGCGTGCGTTCTTACCCCACCCCGCACTCTGTTTGTGAGTGTAGGGGCGGGTATAAGGGGTGGGCACAAGTACTAAGGTCGTTCAGCATGACCGAGTAATATGGTCTCTTGCAATTACTGTTGTTATTAATGTTATTACCATCACTTTGGTTACTATTGTCATTATTACTATCACTATTATGATTCCTGTTTCATTTCTATGGTTATTCTTATTACTCATTGCACTTAGATCATTTAAAGCAAGCCCCGAATGGGTAGTTCCCAAGTGGGTACCCTTACAGAAGGCCTATCTAGACGTCATACCCCCTTTGCCCTTTCTTACGGTTTAGGGTTTAGGCCGAATACGAATCAAGCCGGCAAAGCCCAACCCTAGTACTTTAGGATGACCTTACTGGGGCTTCAGGGTTTAGGGTTCGGATTTAGGGTCTATTAGGTTTTGGGGGCTTAAGGTCTTAGGGTTAAGAGGCTCAAGGTTGAATTTCGGAGTGCATGCACGCGGTTCTACGGGAAACTATGAAGAACATCGTCAGGTCCACTCCCCCACTCTCCTAGAGCCTCAAACACCAGTAAGTAATTGTCCGGTATCCTCGTTGAGCCTGAGGGCCTCGTTTCATTTCTAACCGGCCCGACACGCTCTAAACCCTACGTGGGCGTGTTACAAAACACGGGTGGTCTCTATATAAAAAAGTACTTCCGATGTAATGAGCTGAGCTTAGGGTTTAAGCCTACAAGAGACTTCATGTTTTTACCTGCTGAAAACACTTGTTCAACGGAATGTGCTGTGGCAGCCTTCAAGGACGATAGCTTCCACTGCCCGTCTAGCAAGCTTCGACTACGGGGATGTAGGGGCCGTAATAATTACCAAGACCCTTTTTAGGTCGATTTGAGGTACCCTATACAAAAATGTAAATAAACTCTGGGACCATGATATTCCCACTCATATGTACTCATTCAAGACATCACATCTTGCTTCCCTCTACGCAATCCAACATGGACCGGTCCGGGCTAAGTTTCAGTAGGCTTTTTTCCTGGCTGCCGTGCCTGATCTGTCTGTACGCGTCGGGACGCAGCATGAATAACTCAAATTCCCGCATAAGCTCACAAGACTAGGAAGCACCCTTCCCTTGCGCAGAACAGGAGAGAAAAACGTGAGGGCGTGTCAAAAGCTCCTGGTCACACTTGCATGTCAGCAGAAGTCATCGTCGCGCAGAAGCCTGTAGCTCAGTACAAAGTGTACGCAATCCAGGCCATATTCTTTCACAGAAATCTGCGGACTTACATACTCTGCTTCGGGACTCTTGGCCAACAGCTCTTCTCTTTTCTGATCGCATGCAAGGCCGTGCTTGTTGCGAATCTTGATAATGTCGCCCACTGTCAAATGCTTCTCCGCCGTGAAGTCCTCTAACGTCATTGGAACTGCAGATCCTTCTGACAAGCTGAATTTGACAGCTGCCCCGGCGTGGACCACAGCGGTTGTTTGCCTGACCTGTGCTCCCAAACTGCTGCCTTCGTCGCTTACTTGGAATGCAGGCGGTGGCTTCAGCACATCGCCATGTTTCCAGGGAATAGTCCTTGGATCCAAAGCGGATCAAGCTTGGGGTAGAAAAACGGATTCCTAACCTGTACCAAGGCCAAACTCCCCCTAAACCCTAAACCACTCTACCAGCAGCAGGGTAGGATCGGGTAGCCACAAAGATGTCCAGGCCCACCGAACCAACATCCAATGGATGCGAGACGAAAGGCAACCTTCAGAGCAATCTCCTCCTGCTCTTCCTGGCTTAGGGGTTTAGGGTTTTAGGGTTTAGGGGTTAGGGGTTTAGGGTTTAGGGGTTTAGGGTTTGGGATACTTTAGGGCCCAGAAAAAGCTTCAGCAACAAAACAGCCAAACCAAAACAGTACCGTGTAAATCCTCACCCTGAAGCTGGAGATTTTAAACATCCCTAGATTGGTCAAAAAATGTGGGTTTCCCAAATTCAGGGGTACCCTTTTTGGGGCCCCCTATACTAAGGATCACCGTATTTGAGGATCATGTCAGGGGACCCTGATTTAGGGAAACCGACACATAAGATCCAACACAACAAAGTCAAACACGTCCAAGTCGGATCTAGGTTCCTGGGGCACCGCTGGATCCAAAAGGTTTCCCTTGTCATCCTGCAAGCCAACCATCTGCAAGAGAGGACTATGGGGAACAACGACAGCAGTAATCGAAGTGCTGTTGTCTGCCTCCTCCAGTGTATTCAGGGGATGGCCATCAGCTGTCAAAAGCCTGCAAGTACAGAACTTGCTCGAACCCATCTTGACAAGTATCAACTCCTGCAGCTCAGCAAGAGAAGACACCTCAACAGCGTCCAGCAGCAGTTCACCCGTCATCCCTACCACAGTCAACTTGCGTTGCTGTTCAGACTTGTCGGCCATGGCGTGAGGGATAGGGCCAAGCAGCTGCTTGTAAGTTGAGCTACGCTGGTAAAACAAATCAAGAGAAGCTTGGGCATGTCAAATGCCGGAGCATGAGTTCAGGAAATTCATGTACTTCCCTAAACCTATACCACAATTCCTATCGAGCCCAAATCCCAAACACCTACTTATAAGGTACATGGAAGCGATGGAAACGTAGCGTAAGGTTCCCAGCTGAAGTGCATGGCAAAACCGCTGGATAGGACCCTTCGAAGTCCAAAACCAAAGCCGAGTCCCACTGAGCAATGAAAAGCTCTGAGCCCCACGGTCACCATTGAAATAATGGGATTCACCCACACCTTAAACTTTTTTTACCACTGAAGTACAACACGGTGAAGAACACTACCTGTATTTGAAACTCACAGAGCAACTCCCCCTAACCATATGCTTCTACAGCCCAAACTGAGGAAAGGACGATCTTGGTGCAGCTGCTGATTCAGAATGATGTTCTCACGGAGCGTGCCCTCGAAGATCCAAGGCACCTGTCCCGCTTAGTTTCAAAGCCATGCCGTTCCAGGTTTAGGTTGTTGGGGTTAAGGGTTTCACGGTTTAAGCCCCAAATTAGACTTCGGGTTTCACGGTTTAGGGTGCGAGGGGTTTTAGGGTCTTAAAGTGTAAGCCCGGATTTAGGTAGTCTCAGCGCTGACCGTGAGAAAAACTGGAGGAAGCAATGAAACCTGTGAAGAATATGTGGGAGTTTCCCAAAACTAGATGTACCACTTTGGGGGTCCCCAGAACAAGGACTGTAATATGTCGGGGTCTATACTTTTGTCCCCACATTTCCAGACACTACCATATCCACCATTCTAGCCGAAGTTTGCGGTTGAGGCCGAGGGTCTGTATGTCTACATCGAAAGAGCTACAGTCTGCCTAGAAGTAAAAATATGCAAGCACGCCGTTCCGCATATTGCAGAAGTATGTTGTCATATCAAGGGATCCTAGAAAACCCCCTTTGTACCACCATGCCACTTTTATCTCGGAGACTACGGATTGCGGATAGGGCTTTCCAAAAAAGACAGGGGGTCCTCAGGAAAGTATGAGTGGCACTACGCTGCTCTTCAGAGGAAATCCATACTTCCCTCTCCGGCTTGTCAGAGTTCTCCCAAGAGTCCACTATGCTTCTCCTCTGCCATAAGTGATCCCACCAAGTAAAATGTTCTACCTCTGTTCTTTTTAAGCGATAACCCGCCGTAAAAAATGCTGTAGCATCCAAACTCATCCCTCAAAACCAGTAAGTATCTAACCGCAGGCCCCACAAGCCCCACAACTATAGATACCCAGTACTTGTTTCATCTCAAATTTCCTTAATCATTGGATTCTCCAATAGTTCTAGCCAAAAAACAATCACTTAGATTCCAATCGCTAGGAACCGTCACTATAAATCCAACTTGCATTTCATTGTCTTTCTTCTTCTCCACGTGCTTCTACGCTTTCTGATGCCACACACCTACTATAACCCTGATATAACCCTATCACTCATTAAAGCCCCAACAAGGTACCCCTCATTGTGGTAAACCCCATACCCTAAGCCCCCTTCTTGCAGAAGAGGAACCTGGGCGCAGTAGGCGATATGGCCGGTAGAGGTGTCAGGCGCTTCCACGAAACTCTCCCTGGGCGTTAGGCTTTAGGGTCTACGGTTTATCATTCCTCGCGGGTTTAGGCATCAGTGCCTCAGGCGCAAGAGACCAAAATACTGTAGCCCTTCTGAAAGGACTCCCAAAAGGGTACCCCATAATTTGGAGAAAGCCCTACATGTAGGTTTCAGGTATGCCATGGTAAGCAGGGTTTATGGACTTGAACCCCAAACCCAAAACCTAATCTCTAAAACCTAAACCCTGGATATCCCTATACACCCCTGTACAACCCTCATAATATAACCCTAAACCCTAAACCCTAGGCGTAGGTTTCAGGTATGCCGCAGTAAGCACAGTTTGTGGACTCGGAGTTCATGCTATGGATCTAAAGGCTTGGGGAAACCTATTGAGATATTAGGGTTGACGGTTTAGGGTTTAGGGATTGCGGTTTCGGGATTAGGGTTTAGGTTTTGGGGAGGGCTAAAGGTACAGAAACTTGGTGGCTTCGGGCTGGGGAATTGGTCTGTGTTTAGTCTACCTGGACCCCACCAAAAGTAGGTAAAATAATGGCCCAAAACCTTTAAATATAGCCCAAAGGGCCATTATTCTACATACTTTTAAGCCCTAAACCCTAAATAATACAGTAGTTTCCATTTTCTTTTCCATTATTCTACATACTTTTGGGGTGTAGGTAGAGTCTAAGGTTCGGGGCATGCAAAGGAGAAGCCTTCTCTCAGCCTTGGCCCACACCTCAAGCATAAAATCTGAGAGCCTTGGACTCTGCTAGTCCAAACTCTCAACTTTCTAGTCCCCCTTAAGTAGTCTATGGGGGTTTATAGGGGTTATATCGGGATAATGGAAAAGAAACTGGAAACTACTATATTATAATAGGGTAAATAGTCGGGTTATAGTCCCCCTTAAGTAGATAGAATACGGGGTATATGGGGATCTTATTATACTATACCCGAAGCGATATTCTATCCGCTTAAGGGGGACTATAAACCCTAAACCTCCATCTCCTCCAATACATGTGTAAAACCCCCCCTAATATCAGGTATTTCCATGTGGTATACTATACTATATTTGGAACTTATAATACCAGGGAACGCGGGCACAAAGGTGTTTTGATCTTAGGGGGAGGGATTGTGACTCATGTCTGGGTCTCTAAGCCTCCTAAACCCTAAACCTTAAACCCTAAGCCCTAAACCCTAAACCATACAGATTCTTTGTTTTTGCATCTGGACTCCTGCAAGCTCTGCCAGAAAACGAAGTCCAAGTTTAGGGGTTTAGGGTTTAGCCCTTAACCCAAACACCGCAAAAACGCGGTGTAGGTCGGGTTTAGGGCTTGAGGTAAAAAGATAAACCTTGCACTTACACGGTAAACGCTGAAGTCCTAGATCCCACGCCCAAGACCCTATAACCCTACATCCTAAGCCTCAAACCCTAAAACCCGAAATCCCAAACTTCAAGCCCTAAAACCCTGAATCTTAAGCAATAAGCATTAAATCACTAAACCCCTAATGACTACACCCAATACAGCGTGAAACCCGGAGATCGAAAACCCCATCACCCTAAAACCTTCACGACGAAACCAAAATACCTAAAGCCAAAGGCCCCAACTCGAAACCCCTGAAGGCCTAAATCCTTCAACCCTACAATACCCTGCAACTGAAAGCTAAATCCCAGCCCTATAAATCACAAGTCCTAGAGGTCTCAACCCCGAACATCAAATCCTAAACCCTAAACCCTTACTCTAAGCCCTTGAACCCTTGAACCTTAAACCCCTTTTTTGAAACCCTCAAGCCCCGCGGTCCTGTTGCTAGGAAGCGGATGAAGCTCTCCGAGTACGGTCTGCAAGAAGGTACCTGGGAGAAGAGTTTAGGACTTAGGTCTTGGAAGTTTGGGTTTAGGATTTAGGGCTTAGAGTTTATGGAACCCTAAACCCCTAAACCCTAAACTCCCTAAATCAGTTTAGGGCTTTAGAATTTAGAGGTTGAGGACTTCGAGGTTTAGGAGTGACGGCTTTGGATTGAGGGTTCTGGGCTCAGGATCTTGACTCAGGTTGTTTGGGGCCCAGACTTTGGCCTTCCGGAAAAACATACCTCTTGGTTTAGGGTTTAGGGACTTATGGTTTAGGGGTTTAGGGTTTAGAAGACATTTTTGGTAGAGTCGTGACTGAAACACCCCAAGTATGGAACGTATGTTGCCAGGTTGTGGGACGTAGTGCGGTAGGAGGTTCCGGATAGAAGACTAGAGGTCTGAGTTAGAGGTACAAGGTTCAAGGCATTGGCATTAACATGGCCAAGAAGAGTGTTAATGATCATAATAGTAATGACAATAGTAGTAGTAATAGCAGCACCAGTAATAGTAAAAGGGATCACCAACAGGAAACATGGTGGGATAGGCTAGCATTACCACCCATGCAGTATCAGTCCCCAAACAGCCTCTTCTGAAGCCTAAATCTTACCCTTGAGGGGACTGATAATGCATCAACAGTGAAGTTATCAAAGGTTAAAACCATGGGCCACTAGTATGGGCCGTTGATCGTGGGGGACTCTATATATCTAGTAAGCACCACTAAACCCTGAACCCTAAAGAACCACATACACCCTTCAGGGTGCCTGGAATACCCCTAGACGGGCGTAGTACCCACATGAGCTATAGTCTAAACTCCTAGTATCCCCCGTAATAAGATTAAGCCCCATAATAGGAGCCCTGTAGAATCCGTGTATGAACCCCCTTTAAGGAGTTTTTGGCTACAGCTCACATGAGGGACCTTAGACATCCGCAGCGAATCACCTGGGGAGTGCTAACTCGGACAAACATGGGCATAGGAATCTAGAGGGTTTAGGGTTTAGAGATTTAAGGTGAGGGTTTAAGCACAAAATAAGTATTTTATGTGTATTGCTATAATAACACTTCTTGCGCACCGCTGTTAGAAACTGTAAATAGTTTAGGGGCCTGAGGTGGTGTAACATGTCTTGCATCAATCAGCTGTAGCATGCTTCGCTTGTAATTATTTTCCAACTTGCCTCACCCCCCGTCCCCCCCTCCCCCTACCCTGCCCCCGGCAAAAAAAAGAGAACTAAACAGGAACCTACAACAACTATTGCCCGTTGACTATGGAATTTCCACATTGTCTTGGGAGTACCACTATGGGCTATTAGACCTTAAGGGTACCTTAATCTACCCTTAATAGGATCCTAATAAGGAATTTTAAGGTCCAATAGCCCATGGTGGTAGGGTGAGTCCGAAGCCGAAAACTCTGCCCCAAACTCTTCAGCAGGTTGCTCTTGCCAGCGCCGACTCGCCCAATGATGCCGACCAGCTCCTTTGCATGCA